GCATGATGCATCGCAGGCTGATAACTCTGGCTTGCAATGGAAAACATGACCAAAGTATAAATAATGTGAGCCGACGTGAAGTCAGGCAGCCCTGACTTGATTTGTTTAGTTTATGAACCCGTGCCTGGATGGCTTTGCGCTTGTGATTAAATAGCGCAGTATGACATTCTGTGGCCATCACAGGGCAGGCATGGCAGACGCTGCAGTCTGGGAGTCCGCTCTGAGGTTGTGGTTCCTGGGAGAGGCAGCGCGGTGCTGTGGTGAGCGTCAGGCCGGGGGGGTTAGTGGTCACGGCTTGGAAAGGGAGGCAGAGTTTCGCGCAGCAGGAATCGAAGGGAGTGTGGGGTTGTTGTGACTTGGGAGGGGGCAAGGGTTAAAATCGGAGAGGGAGCAATGCGATGGGAATTGTGCCGCGGCGCCTTTGTCTCCGCTCTTCGATCCTGTCCGAAGAGGCTGCCTATCCTTGCGTTTAGGATTGAGGAAGAAGGGTTTAGCTTCTCGGATCTTGGGCAGCGAAGAGCTGGGAGCTGGTGCAGGAAGGGGGGGGGGGCAGCAGCGGGTTGCAGCACGATCTCTTGCTGCTGTAAGCCTGACTCTTTTGCCAGCTCCTCTCCTGGAGTCCTGCGGAGCTGCCAGCGCCGCGGCTGACTTCGGGCCTCCACAGGCCCAGCAGGGCTGCGGGGGCTCAGTCAGTTCCAGGTTGTTCCGCGGGCAGTGCGCCGTGTGTCCTGGTGCCGCAGTGTGCGCCGCGGCGGAGGAGGCGCGGACTGCGGGTGCTGCCGCTGGGAGCTCCGATCTCCCTCTGTGAACTTGATCAGCGGTAGCGGGGGGGGTAGCTTTCCTGCCAGTGTTTTTGGTGTTGTCCTCCATGAAAGCTTTTAAAAAAAAGCAATGAACGGGGTGGAATTAACACGCCTCCTCCCTCTCGCATTCAATACGGGGCGTGCAGGCACGTCCCTCTTCTCCGAGCTCCCGAAAACAGCCGTTTCCACCAGCCTGGCCACCTGCTTATGCTTTTCGCTTTCCTTGGCTAAATCCCCGGAGAACACCTTTACAGGGGGCGAGAGGCAGAACGAGCACACGGCAGCCTCTCCTTTTCGAATAACAAAGTGGAAAACCTGCAAGCAGCCGTCACACTCCTGAGCAGCTGAGTACTTTCGGTGACTTGTTCGTACACGGGCTGCATTGAAAACACTTTTTAGTCGGACCAAGAAATTGACTACTGAAGTTTATCCTCTCTGTCGGCGCTGATCTGAGAGGTGATATTTTGCCTGGTTTCTCTAGATCTGCATATATGTAATATTCCCCGAGCTTTTCAGGAGGCAATAAACATGTTTGATGAAAGAAAATGTAACACCCCAGTTACTTGCCAGATCTACAACTTTGCACTTATTTGCTCTATGAAGCAGGTCTCAGTAGGCCATGAGCAATTCAGCAAATAATTCTAGTGAAAGGGGAGGATTTTTTTAATTAAACCCTGCTGCTGAGGTCAGCTGTGCTTTTCAGTGATGTTAAAGAATAGCTATTCAAACGTTTGTGTTATGTTACCAGCAACAAATTCTTTAAATATTTTTTTTTACTTGCTTCCAGGAGTGTAACCTTTCTTGCCTTGTTTCAGCCCAGGGCTCGCCTGTAAAATGTTATAGCCAAATCATCTTAGTCAAGGGCAGAACAAGCGTACTGCATAGAAACAGTGTATCTTGCCATGGGATCAGGAATGTCCAGATTCTTGGGCCACAAGCTGTGTAACTTTGGCGTTTTGGCTTAAGGGGTTGTTTATTTGAAAAGCGGATGAGAATCTATAGCAGAGTAAGTGAGTGGGGTTTTGTGGTTGTCATATTATGATAGAGGGCTTTGATTGTTAATGTGATTAGTATTTTGTTGTGTCCGTGCAATAAATGTTTTTTTTTTTATGTTTCTCATTGAGTGTTTCCTTTCTCACAAACTGACCGGAGTTCAAGGGTTCTGCAGCCCTGATTTCAACATAAGGGCCTGTGCATGTTTTTCTTTTTTTCTGCAGCTCATATTTTCTATAGCTCTTCCTCTGGTGTTCACCATGAACTCTGCAAATATTGGTTATAATAACTGAATGAAAACTGAAACAGATTTCCGTGGCTGAATGCTTGTTATCTATTGCTACTTTATAGCAAGAGGCCCCATAGCCGGAGGTATCGAGCTAATCTACTAGACTGGAACTGAAGGAACAGTGGTGTAAGGGTGTAGTTTGATTAGCTGGGAGTGTGACACAGATCTGGGTGAGTTCAGCAGCTGTATGAATGCAGCCATTAACGATGAGACTGGGCTGCTGGTCTGGAACCAAATCAGCACTCAGAAGTTGAATTTCTGGCAGAGGTCTGTGTGCTTCCTTAGCTCTGTTATTCTTACGATCTTTCAGAACTGCCCCTTGCTGGTGGAATAGCTGATGTTTTTAATGAGTGCTGCTTGAATTATTGAATGAGGGGCCTGAGCAGGTGTGTTAATCATACACAGCATACATGAAGCTGTCCGAGCACTACTTGTTGTTATTCCACATACACAGGCAAGCATCCGCAGGTCTGTGTGATGTCTGAGGTGATGAAAGCGAAGATGCAGTTCTATTATAAAAATAATTCGGCTCCTTCTTAATGGATTAGATGGGCTTAATGGCCCTCTCTCGTTCTTAACCTTTCTTATGTTCTGTTTAGGAAGGGCGGTAATAAATAGCTTGATGGTTTTCAGTAGAGACCAATTGATGTAGAAGCTGGAGCAATTGGGCTTCGTTAGATTTTAGGTTGTTTTTGTTAGATTGAGCAGCAGGTCAAGGTTGGATGCCGCCCGATTGTCATTCTTTGCACACAGCTTATGTACTTTCAGTCCGCATATCGCTGCTGCTCAGCCTGTCCCCACGTACCTCCTGCAGAGCAGCACTGCAGTGGGGAAGCCCACAGAGAGCCAGCTCAAGGGAGAGCCAAGGACAGCCCCTGCGAAAACACTGAAGTGCCCGAGAACTGATCTTCCCTCTTGCAAAGAAGTTTAACTCCTCCTTTCAAACTAGTCTCTTAACATTTAACATAATGATCCTCCTGTCATTTCATCAAGTTAATTAAGTTTTAACGTCTGTCCTAAAAACGCTTCCCCTTTATATACTTAAAAAAAAACTTCCCCATTTCATAATATAGGAGTAGCCTCAGAAACTCCCTGCACAGTTATCACTGATAAGCCTGCAGGAAATTCCCTACCTTAAATAGGAGCTGCTGAATAGAAGATAAATTAGTATAGAATATGGAGTTATCTTGCTGCACTTTCACTGCATTCCTTTGAGTAAAGCATTTGGCTTTTTTATTCTTTTGCTTTACTTGTAAAATGACCTGGTTTGTTGATCTCTAACTCAGTAATGCCAGCCTGAATCATAGCTTAGAGCCTAAGTATGGTATGGATTGGACTAGGGTCAGGACCCTCTTGAACTATGAGCTATCCAGTCTTACTGTAAACTATAGTTTCAGCAAGAGCTCTGCCAGGGCCCTGTCTTCAATGCTGTGTACATGTTTTATGAGGACTCTCAGCAGATGTTAGATGACGTCATGGAAGTGTAGAGAAACCCTTCCTTTTTAAATCCTTTGCGAAGTCAGATAAGTGAATTGGTCTGGAATCCAGGGCGCTAACCACTCTTCCATGCTGCTGCCTCCTCTTGCCTTACTTCCCACACCTTGTCCCAACTGCAGTCCTCAAGCCAATCAAAGAAGTCCTCTGGTCTTTACCAATCAAGGGTAATGGAAAGGCAGAAGTGAAGCGTGGTCTGGTTTCTGTCCATACTCCCATGGAGTTTCACTGCTATAAACAGGAAAGACCGTCATGGCTTCCTGCCACCAGCCAGACAATGCAACTCTAATGAGAAAATGAGGCTTGATATTTAGTTTTCTGAAGTGCAGTAATGAAATTGTAATCCCTTTGTGCAGGGACAAGGTATCGCTGGAGTTGGAACTCTGCCAATTAACCACAGACCAGCAATATGGTTCGTTAGTCAAGGCTGGAGTGTTTCATCTCCGTGCTGCTCTGAGCACCCTGCTCTTTCCTTTTGGATTCCTCGCCTTAAGGCAGAGCTTACCCTCACTGGCCAGAGTATTAGGACCCCCTACCTTGAATGTAGCTGGGCCTCTGTACGCAGCAGGAACAGCCTGCAGGGGATATGGGCCTGTGTCATACAGGCCGTTCAGTTCAGTGTTTGGCTAGTTTGTCTAGTTTCCCCAGACTGATGCAGCTTGAGATATGTGGATTTTTCCCGTTCAGGGAGAGTGAAGGAAGTCTGTCTTTTGTGGCTTTTCAAGCCAGCCAGCTGCGCACTATCTGCTAGAGAAACAATCCGTTTATCGGATTGAGGGTTGCTATTTTGTCCACCAGCGTGTGGCTTAACCATTCTAACACAGCTTTTCTTTGCTCTTCAAGAAAGATCAGAAGTGGTAGGGGTGTAAGGCGTTCGTGTACGTGTTGCATTAAGAGAAGCTTCATGCATCGGTTTAATTTTGTCTGTCATTCTGTGTTACCCCTTTAACCCCCTCAGGAGTGCCTCCAGTTAGGACACTCGCCCATCGCTGCTGCCCTCTGTCGGGGCACAGCCACGCAGATCTGTGTCTTGCCATGTCACGGCGAAAGAATATCTGCCAGAGGCTGCGTTCAGATCAAATTTCAGACTTGTTTGCTGACGCAACCAGAGCCTCAAAGCATGGTGGTTTTTATTATGTACACAACAGAAGGAATTTTGCAGTTCTTACATCCTTGCTAATTTTATATGAAGTGGTTCTCGCATAGTTTACAGAACGTCTCTGCACACAATTACCTCGTTTATGGATGTAGCTGTATATTTATAGCTGGCTTTGGAAATCTGCTGCCTGTTTCAAGGCCGTGTTATATGGTAGTTATAAGCCCTACAGGGTTAGAGTTATTCAGCGTTTGTTCGACGTCGACGGGTTTCACTTCTCTTTTTGTCTCCTGGCACTGACCGCTGCTGTGTGTTTGCCTTGCAGGGAAATCACTTCGATCAGTATGAGGAGGGGCAGCTGGAGCTGGAGCAGGCGTCCCTGGACAAGCCCATTGAATCGGTAAGGCTCCGCCTGTCACTGGCCTCTGGGAGCAGGCTGGCTGGGGCAGTGTGTGCGAATGGATGAGAGCCCAGCCAGGGGTAGGAGCCCAACCCCCCACCCCCACCCTCCACCCCCTGTATGATAGATTTCTGCACCCCATCATTCTCAAATGAGCAGGTTTTACTTGATGTACTTTCATATCCCATTAGAATACTGTAAATCCTCTTGTTTTCTTTGTAATCAATTGTAAAACTGTCAGTTTCTAATTGTTTTTTTTTTGTAAGAATGCTAGATTTTGTTTTTTTAATGTTACTTTTACGTGATCCTTTTTTTCCCCCCCCCTATTTATTTGGTAGAAATACAGTTACATTTGCATGTGTGGATTGTGTGTTGAGCGGAGTGGATAATGTACTGTCTCATGGTATGACTCATAAGGTCGAACCCCTTGCCCAAAATTGGAAATGCAGACCATAGTGGCGCATTGAATGAGAAAACATTCCTTACAGCCCGGAGTTCTTCTTGGTCGTTTCAAGGACGCCTTGTGCAAAACTACTTTCACACATTGAAGTGGGGAAAAAAATCGGCTTTTAACGTTTCCCGTTGATTAAAAAAAATAGACTAGTTAAAGTAAACAGTGTACTTCGGTATAGATTCATTTATAGTCCAACTGGGGTATAATACTAGCATGTAGCTACTGTAGTTATAAAGGCTTGATTTTTAAATAGACATTGCATCATTATAAATCAGATCTCCATTCATTTTAGCTGTGGTTTCGCAATGATATGATAGTTATTTTGGTATAATTAGAGACAGAACAAACAGCTCAAATACATTTGTTAAAAAGGTGTGTGGCTAAGTGTCGCACTAGTTGCAGGTGCATTGAATTAAAATCAACCCACATCTAGTACCGTGAAAGAATGAATTACAGGATTTGTAATACTGTTAGTACATAGCAGTATGTAAGTTGACATCACATTGTCACATTCTGTAGTTATTCGTGCAGATTATTTAGAAAAAATGTTTAATCACAACATTATTGAGTGCTGTTATGCATTTATGAAATCTGAGATATTTGGTCACACACTAACCCAGCTAGTATTTTTATTTGCTTTCCCATGAGTATGTCATACTAATGTAACTTGGATACTGGCCAGCGTTGTTAAACACCACTGTATATGGGAACAGTCTGGTGCAGTAAGCATGCCAGTAAGTGCTGTTGTGCTTGTGTTTCTTCTGTAGGTTCTAATATATCTAGTAGGTATCACAGTGAAGTACTGAAGCATCTCATCATTTGACATTGTGACAAGCATTGGTGTGTAATAGTTAATGGTCGATTTACACAAAAAAATATTGTGACATCACTTTACTGGTTCTTCAAAAATGATTTTTTTGTCTCCGGAATGACTCTGGGAATTCGAGACGCCTGCTATCTTTCAAATGTCCTTGAGCTGCTGTGAGCCTTTAGAGCTGTTTCTTTAAGTAGGTTAAACTCCATTAGCCTTCCTTGTAAAAAGCATGAGGAGGAAGGCTGTAGTGAGCTCTTCCACCACCCCCTCGGTCCAGGCCAGCTAGCACTGGGCAGCCTGCAGTGCACAGCCACAGATAAATAGTCACTCCAGCACTCTTATCACAAGACCTGCAGTAAAACGTTCAGTAGGAAAAAAAATCCAATTCAAAACATGATGCAAGCATGACATCTTCACTTCAAGGGCAAAAGCCGTTTTTCCTCTTCAATAATGATTCATATTTTAATGCTTTCAGCTGTCATCGCTATCGAGAACTAATATTTCCAGTTCCATGGTCCTCCTGTATAGATAGAAACACTAAAGCTAACCCAAGAAAATAAAATAAGAATTGTAAAATGCGTTTCCAGGGCAGCACAGGCTCACAGCTGATGCCGCAGGGAGCCCAGACAATAATTGCGAGGGAGAACCCCAGTACAGTATCCACTCCATTGAGAGAGAGATTGAAGGAGGGCAGAGAGTGCTGGCTTGTTATATTGTGCCTATTTGTTTTTGTGTGTGCGTGTGTGTAGTCAGTGTTTGTGTGTGTTGAGTGGAAGAGTGCGTCCAGAAATTTCCAGTATTGTACACAACTTGGGGTGTTCGACATTTCTCTCCTGCAGCAAATTGGCCCCAATTAGCTAAGCAGCTATGACCTGGTTTGTATTGCACGCTCTGCTTTCCTATTCCTATCTCTAGGGTACCGCTTCTCTCACTTTCTCTTCCCTCTTCTTTCCGTCTTTCCCTCTCTACACAGTGATTCGGTGTACAGTACCCTCTGTCATTCTGTGCTGGCATGGTGCTTGTGCAACTGGAACTGCATTTTTGCTGACGAGGCATGTAGATAATATCGCAGCAAGCGTCTCTACGACACCATGCTGACTTTAGCAGGCTACGGTGGTGGGGAAGACTGACAGTTGTTAAAACAGAGATTGGGGAGGGGGGGGTTTCACGCAAAGGGGTACAGTTAGCTCGAACCTGCCTGGCTGCCGAAGGGGGAAAAAAAAACCCTGTAGTTGCATTTCAGCTGAAGTGAATTGTTGTTCTGTGTGCCACTGGGTTCCCTGTACTGGCTCAGGGCCCTGCTTGGTGCTGCTCAGAAATGATAGGATTCTACAGTCATTGTCATCAAGTATTGGCAAACCTCCATCTTATTCAGCGATATTAGTTTATTAAGGACCATAAATATTGATAAACTGTACTAGGTTGATTGCATGCTCATCTGTAAGTAGTGATTTCTGCACTTTTGTTGCAGGATGCATCATTACTAGGATGAATGAAAATTCAGATAACATAAAGAAGGTAGAGTCAAAGAGTAATGTTTATTATGCTTAATACATTTGAGAATAACATTCTTAGAGATGGAGGGTGTTAATATTTCTGGCTGTGAGTGTAAATTTTGGGTGCTTATTTCTCCATCAGACTGTCC